TTACAACCCTTTTTATTATCTTGGCTGTATCTGTTATCTGTGCATCAAAGGACAAATCAACATATTGCCACAATAATGCTGTGTAACAAATGGCCTCTCGACCTCGGTGATGTACAATGATAAACAGTTACTTGGCTCAAGGGTCTTTGGGGTTCATCTGACCTATCAAACTTGGGCTGGGCCGGGCCAGTCTCAGCTGTTCTCCCCCAGGTCTGGGGGTTTGCTCCTTGTCGGCCGATCTCTGACAGCCTCAGCTGGAGTGACTCGGCTCTGCTCCACATGTGTCCTCCAGCTGGCTAGCTTGGGTGTGTCCTGCTGCAACAGCAACTGTGCATGAGGTGCCTCGCTGTGTCTAAGCTCTTTTGCTCATTTGTTTCCATGTGCTTCTCTCAACATCCTCGGAAGCTAACCAGAGAGCATGCTATAACTAGTCTCATGTTGAAGGCTAAGCGAGGTAAGAAGAGTCACAGCCTCACACAGCTTGGATGTGTTAAGTGCAGGACTGATGCAAGATCCTTCACCCTACCCTGGCTTCCTCCAAGGCTCCATGCCACCTCTCTTCAAGCAGCTGCTTGTGCCCAGTCATTGATACTTGGGCATTTACCTTGCTGGATTCCAGAGGTGACCTCAGCCGCTCCATGATCACCACCCTCCTTGGAATCTCTTCGCTGCATATAAACAGAGCCTCATTCTGCGCAAGTGCTCTCTTGGGTGGGGTGGATATGAGCGTATGAAGGGCACAGCTGCTGCCCTTCAAGAGGAGTGAGGCCAGACATGGGAGCATAAGACACGGCTCATGGTCTAGCCACACATGATCAACACCAAAGCACAGACTCCCCCACCGAGGGCTCTGATAAGTTCCCAGGAAAGAGAAGCCCCTGTGGTCATGAGACCCAAGTCAAAGCTCCAAAATAACCCCTCTCTGTTCTCAGACCCCTTCCCTTGGCATTTCCAGAACATGCCCTCTCCACATTCACTTGTTGTGGTCGCCATAGCAAAGCCGCGGGGTTGGATTCCAGGGTGCATTAGAGCACCTTCGGGCATTTCTGAGAGTTTAAATCTGTCTTGTATTTTGTAGCGCACCTTCTAAAAATAATAATAATAATAATAATAATAATAAAGAACATCAATGGCTCTTACAGGCAGCCCCAAAAAGTGTACAGCAGGGTTTCTGAAAATGTCCCTCCCTCTGTACAGTTGGAGGAGACAGCTTATCAGTGGGTCAGCTGAAAATCCAAAAAACTGGCCAAGGGGGGGTGAATCAGAATGACTCTGTATGAGGAGACAGCTGAGCTCCATGGGAAGGCTTGGAGAGAGTCCTAGGGTCAAATCTAAGCCCTGCCATGTGCAAGCCATGTGTCTTTGGACAAGTCACTACACTCTCTGAGTTGTCAGGGAGATGGGACCAGTAACTCCCTGTCTCCAATGGAAGATGGAAAAATTAAGTGAGATAGTCCTTGTAAAGTACCTAGAGTGTGCCTGGAATTCCCAGCTCAACAAACAGTGGCAGATAATATTATTATCATTATTATTATCACCATCACCATCATCAATGATATTGTTATATCCTTTGGAAATATAGGAGTGGTCAAATTAATCTTAAAATGCCTTACTCTTTTAAAAATATTTGCACCAGTCGTACTGATAGTACTGTCGATGTCACACTTCCAATAGGCTTTCTGCATCTTAAGGTTTCACTTTATACCTTTGTTTTGCTCCTTTGTTGTTTGCTTGTGCTGTTTTGTCTGTTTTTCCAGGAGTAACTTGTTTTCCAGTGGGTAACATGGGAGAGAGTTAGAACAGAGCTTTTTGTAACCTAAGTGGCAGACCTACCCTCAGATGCCAGCAGGGGCTCTGCAGCTGGCAAGGAGCCCCATCGCCTTGCAGGCCTCTCCACTTTGTCTCAGGGCATGTGATTGACAGCAGGCGACCCCACCTCACTCTGCCTTGTGCACAGAAACTGACGTGGCTTTCAATAGCCATCACCCTCAAAAGTACTGAGAGCTTGGCAGATCTATTCATTTCGCACCCCGATCCAAGTGTTGATATTACAGTGTATTAGATGGAGTTTCTTGCCTTGAAACAGGATTGATACTTAATATTGAAATGTATTCGTGGTTAGATGGTTTATGGACTCCTAAGCAACGTTGGCTGTTTCAGTGAGTTGAATATACCAGCTATGGACAGCTCATTTAGATCTTGGTTAATCCACAGATGCATGATCTGTCTTCCAATTACTGAATTTGGGTGTTCTTTCAAAGATAATATTAAAACCCATATATGACTGATCAGCAAGTCATAAAGCAAAAGAGAGCTTGAGTCCATTGAAATTTGGGAACGTGTTTTTTGACTTATCCACAAGGCTGTAAAATACAGCATTGATTATTTTTACATGGACATTTAAAAAAACCCACAGTCAAATAATTTTGTACAGATTATGAATAGATCAGTGAATAAGAAGTTATTCTTGAAGTTTCTCTGCATGCCAGGCATCCCAGGCTCTTCAGAGATTAAGTATAAGAGTCTTCTCCTGTAAAATCTCCTACCACCTACAAAAATCACACAAGAAACACAAATTCTGAATGGAAAATACAGATAAGGCTTGTAAAATATGGATAGAGTCACACCAACTCTACCTTTTTTTTTTTTTGAGGGAGAAACATGGTTATTATTTTGACTGATGGCCTTACAAACTCTTATATGCAAATATACTTATATAAGTGTGTGTGTAGACACACATGTACACAGGTAATTTAACAAAAAAGAGATTGTAATACTATTTTATAACATTTTTCCATTTAGCAATGTATTATGAATGCCTTTTCTTGTCAATGAGTATGGATTTACATATTTCATTAAATGACAAATCATAATTTATGAAACCCATCCCCGATGGTATATTTTGTTAGGTTTTGATAACTTATTATAGTCAGTGTTTTTGGAATGAATATCACTGGTGCATATGTCTGTGTACATTTGTCTGATATTTCCATGCAATCGAGTATTAAGGTGCATGTTAGAATCTTACAATCTGGTGGAAGAGACCAAACACATACATGTGAAAAGAAAATAAGCTTACACAAAGGGGAATGGGGTGGCTCAATTAGTGCAGCTGCCAAGAGTCAAAGGCGAGAGAGATTATTTCATGCTTGGATTGCTACAGAAGGCTTCATGAAGGACAGTTACATGTGACGGAAACTCAAATCAGCTTAAGAGTAAAGGACATATTATTGGCTCATGAATTTAAAAAGTCCACTTTGTTTTCAGACTGAGCTGAATCCAGGATTCACATGGTGTCATTGGCACCTGTGTGTGTGCACGTGTGTGCATATGCACGTGTGTGTGTGTGTTTCCGCCCTATCTCTTGGTTTGGCTTCTTACTGTGTGAGCAGCATTCTCAAGCAAGCTCTCTGTATATGGTAGCTGCTTCTAGCAGCTCCAGACTCAGGAGTATTTATAGCTCATAAGAAGAGAGCCCCTTTTCCCTAGTTTCTCTATGAATCCCTGCTTGGCCCCTTACAGACCTTTTTCCCACCCTCCACTGTGTGACAGGGAGTGGGCTGTTCTGGTAGCCAGCTTGGCTCATGTTCCTGTGCCCTGTGGTGATCAGGAGGGCATGTGTGACTGAAGGACCCATTCTGTGGAGCAGTTCTCAAAAGAAAAAGATGCTGGGAGGTCAGTCAATGAAAGAGATGTCACTGCTGAGGGTGTTAAAACTAGAACCTCTCTCATTAGATGCTTTGGGCTGCAAGTAACAGGGAAACTCCAATTCAAACTGGCCTCAACAATGCTTATGGTATGTTATGAAGTCTAAGAGGCAGAGTGGGCTCTAGTGCCACATGATCAGTGGCTCAGTGATGTCATTAAGGGCTCAGGTGCTTTCTGACTCAGGGTCAACTTTATCTCAAGTCAGATTTCCTTCAATATGGTTGCCAGTGTCAATTAGAGCTCCAGCTTCTTTGTCCTCAGCCAGCAACAGATAGTGGAAATGCTCCCTTTGGCAAGGATTATAAAGCCTTTCCTGCTATCTGATTGGGCCAGCCCAGGTCATGTGCCCACCTCTGAACCAATAGCCATCATTAGAGGGTACTGCTCCCTGATTGGCCGGTTGTTTCTACTCCTGAAGAAAAGGGTGGGGTCACCTTCTGCATGGGGCATAGTGGATGGATATTTGGATAAAATTGGGGTCCCCTTAGGAAGGAGTGCTGGGTGGATGCTGGGTGGTCAGCCAACACTGGAATCCAAATAAGATTTCACTAGTTAGAGGGGAAACATAGGGCTGGGTAAGATAGAGATGGAGTTTCTTGCCAGAATTCCAGGGGATTTCCTGGTCATAGCTGACCAAGATGTGGAAGCAGGTTTGCACAAGTTGTCCTGCAGGGACCAGGGGAGTAAACCGGTTCAGCTAGAAGTGCTCATTTATTTATTCCTTCATCCCACATATCTTTATTGATCACCTACTATGTACCAGGCCATATGCTGAGTGCTGGGGTATGGCAATAATCCTATAAGGAAACGTTCATATCCTAGAGGACTTCTAGTGGGGAAGACAGGTGACAAATTAATTTAATATGTAACATATTAAAAAAAAAAGAAAAGAAAAAGCCAGATAAATGGGATAGAGAGAAATGGGAGGGAGGATAGTTAGGTTGGCATTTGAGCAGGGACCTGAAGGGCATGATGGAGTGAGCCAAGAGGATATGTGCGGGGGAAGGTGTTCTGGGCAGAGGGAACAGCACGAGCAAAGACCCTGAGGCAAGCATCCCTGGCATGTTTGGGGAGCTAGGAGGTGGACAAGAGGAGAATGGCAGACCATGAGGTCAGAGAGGAAGCCGGGGCCAGGTCACGTGGGGTCTCGCGAGCATTGCAAAGACCTTGTGCTTACTCTGAGTAAGACGTGCAATTCATGATGACAGAGGACACTGTTGAAGCAGAAGGTGGCCAGACCCTCACCCCCTGCTGTGCCAAACTCTAACTCTTTCTCCTCTTCTCTCTTCCAGGCCATGTACATGTTCTACGCTCTGGCCATAGTGTGTGATGACTTCTTCGTCCCCTCCTTGGAAAAGATCTGCGAGGTATGTGCCTCGTATGCTCAGAGTGCCTGAGCCGGGGTCAGGACAGGGCCTGTACCCTGGTACTGTCCCAGCCTCCTCGCTGAGGTCTTGGGTTGCCCTGGCACACCAGGTGGGGCAGGAAGGCCAGGCATGAGCATGCCTGGGAACAATGGACAATGTTAGCCCCCAAACTCCGTCCGCTTAGCACTTCCTGACACCGATCCATCGTCGGACTTGAACCCACACAAGCAGCTTTCCCCGCTCCGTTTGGCCGTAACCGATGGTGCTGTGTTCTGCTTCCCCATTTTCTTCTCCTCTTTTAACCCTGCTCTTCCTTTCTCCCTGCCGCTTCCTACACCTTTCTCTCCATCATTTCCTTCTGCTTCCAGAACCCTCCTTTGGCAATGCATGAGGTCCTCACAGGGTGCGACACCTCCAGCCACACACCTCCGCCACACTTGCTCTCTCTACATACCCAAGTGCTGTAAGCCAAGGCCCAGAGGGCGCTGGGATGAAAGAACTGGGCACAGAGATCAGGAAAGGGCGCCTGTTAGAAATCATTGCAGTGAACGCCAGGCTGAACAGCAAGTTAAATCCCTTTCATCAAAAAATAGTTAGCAGATCTGGGACTCTTTTATTCTCTTCCCTCTTTCATCTCATTGTCTGTTTTGAAATGTAGTTTCCTTTATCTGGAAGCTTTCCCTTTTATTATTTTTCTAAATTCAGAATCCCGGTTTTCAGAGGGATCTCTCCCAGACATACCTCCCGTCTGGAAGTCCAGCTTCCTCAAGCCAGTAGTTCTCAAACTTTGTTGCCTTCTACTTGTCTTCTCCCTCCTCCCAGGATCTTGGGGGGCTGGGGGAAGGGGATCAGAACTTGCATGTCTAATAAGGTTTCAGATGATTTTGTAGCTTCTTGGTCCAGAAACCACACTCTGAGGACCACAAACTTAAGTAGTTTTTTCTACATCCTGGAAGTTTTTTAGTTTTTCGTACTTTAAATAAAAATCATTCCAACATAACCCTAGAAAGGCCACAGGAGTGGGTCCCTCTAGGCAGTGGCGGTAGGAGAAGGAAGGTGAGGTGGGATCAGCTGAGAGGCACAGTGGCAGGCGTGGGAGCCCGCTGTGAAAGTGACTCCCCCGGGAGGAGGGTCCCCTTATGCCCAAGGGAGGAGGTGTTCAGCATTTGAAATTGAGGTCATTTGTGATCCCTGAAATACCACCATTTGGTGGCTTATTCTTCTTGCAAAGAAAAACGACTCTCTATTTTTCTCAGGCAACTTTTTTTATTGTTCATAGCAAAGTTATTATGCTCTAGAAATGGAAGTGCCATGTCAGCTCGTGTTCTACTCAATCGAGGAAACAGTCACGCCCTTGTTGGAAGAAGCAATCAAAGAGCCGGCAAATGGCAGGAAAAGAGAGCCGGGATGAGTTTTTTGACAAAAAGTTTAAAAGGGGAGGGAAAGAAAAGAAAATGTTTAATGGGGGAAATGTTATTTGTCCTGGGTCTCTGAGATGCCAGAAACTGGCCCCGTTGCTAAGGGAGCGGTGTGAATGTGCCCCTTGGTCCCTTCAGTCATCCCGACAGCTCTGCCACATGACTGCTGTTATCTCCCCTTGAGGGACAAACAAGGAAACTGGGGCTCAGAGAAGTTGAGCACCTTGCCCCAGGTCACACAGCTAGTTAGGGGCAGAGTCACGATCTGAACACAAGTCAGCCTGAGCCCGAGTCATCAGCTTGTCACCACTACACTATGCAGAGACAAGCTTGGTCTTGGCCATGGTTTTGTTAGAACTGGCTCCACCTCCAGGACCCATGGCCACAGGGAGGGCTGGACACAGAAGAGGGACCACCTTTCCCCAGCTCTCCCTGCTCCCACCCCGCGTCTGGTCTTACGAGCAAGATCAACCTAACAAGAGAGGGTGCCCCACGCCCGTCTCCTGCAGACACAGACGGGCTCCACACGCCTTAAACAACCTTAATTGCTGAGGAAACATGTCTGTGAAGGGTGGGTGGGACAAGGACAGAGTTTACATGTTTAGAGACCAGACGTGTTTACCTCCTCCCAGGGACTGGGATCAATTCTCCCTGGAGTCGCACTTTCTCACAAGATTAGAGGATCGTGGTGAGTCCACCCACCGTGGCCTGGGGGGCTTCTGGCCCAGGACTGTGTTTATCCCCTTTGCTTTCCCTAAGCACCTTCCTGTGATTTGATAGTGTGTTGAATGGTTGCCATAGACTAAAGCTGGGGGTGGGACAGAGAAACTCAAGCGAGTGTTGTTTTCAGCTGTTGTGAAGGGTGCGTTGTGCAGGGAAGTCCACACTGTTGAACAAATCATAGCTGCAGTGGGGGAACTCTCACCCAGTCTCAAAAACTTTAAAGCTGAAGTCAGAAAAACATGTGAGGTCAGGGGAGGCCAGGCAAAGGTCATGGAAGAGAGAAAGAAGGATAAAGGCTGTAAGCCCAAGCGACAGGTGGGCTTGGCCTCGTATTTGCAAAGCATCTGCTCTACGTCAGCTTCTCCACCTGCCCGGACCTCGGTTTCTCCTGGTGTGAAGCAATAGTCTCTAGATTTTGGACAGCCAGGAGGTTTCATCCCATGTGAAGGTGTCCAGAGTGTTGAAAAATCCCATGAGCCACCGCCGACGGATTTGGCTGCACTGAGGCAGAGAAGGGAGAGACATTTCAAGAACAGCCAGTGTGAGCAAAAGCTCTGCCAGGGGAACGATGTGGCATCTCCCAAGACCATGAGGCGCTAGCCCTGGTCAAGCAGAGGCTTATGCAGAGAAAAGGAAGTCGAGTGGGGAGGGTGGGAGCCGTGTGGAGGTTTCTAGGGCAGCAGGGGGACGTTCTGAGCAGTGGCTGATGTGATGATGGGGCATGGGACACCGTCCACTCCATGACTATAAACGCTGAGCTGGGCTCTGCCTGGGCCATGCTCTGTGCTAAGGGCTGGGGAGGAAAGTACATAAAACACAGCGTGGTCCTTGCCATGGGAGGGCTCATAGGCCACAGAGCAGTTCCAGAATGATACACATGGGGGCTGGATGAAAAGGTGTGGAATTAGAAATGCAGAGAGAGAGTGGGGGAGAGAGAGATTGATTCTGCCGGGGGACGGGGCAGGGGCTTGTGCAGGGGCAGGATTGGAGCAGCTCTTGGAGGGAAGGTCTCTGTGGCAAAGCATTTCCAGGAAGCGTATGGGTCAGAGAAGGTCTGAGACATAATAACAGGGGCTGGTATCTGCATGTGGGGGCCCCGGATGTCAGGCTGGAGCTCTGGGGATTGTTCAGTGCTCAGGAGGGAGCTGGGGCAGGCTCTGAAGACTCCGATGGTAGACAGAAGGAGTTCACAGGCAAGAAGACCCCCCGCTGGCAATTGTCATAGGCCAGCGAGATATTGCCAGGGCTAAAGTGAATTAGGATGAAAGAGGGAGATATGGAGAAAGAAACAAACTACTGGATGAAGGAGAGAGAGGAGCTGGATGTGAGCCCAAGGTTTGGACACTCCAACTAATACGCCATGGGGAGCCCAGCTGGGGAACCACAGCAGTGCCAGGCTGGTGTCTCCTGTAAACCTTGGCTAACCACACAAGGAGCCCCGAGCTCGGTGGTGGGCTGTGCTCCTCACAGACTCCATTGCCCATGAGACGGGAGCTCTCCAGCACCCCTCACACCTCTCAACCTGGAGGTATCAGTACTTCCGTCTCAGGGTCTCCTCAGCACCCATGTGAAGTTCAGCCGTTCAGTCAACAGTCATGTTCCTGCAAATCGCCTTTTGCCTTAACAAGCAGGGTGACCCGGAGAATACATTGGGAAGGACTGTCCTGGCAAGGCAGATGTCTCATCACTTTCTGCTCAGTCTCCAGCCCCCTCTCCTGCTCACCTACCTCAGGATTTCAAGCCTGCGTCAAAGATGGGGAGTAGGGGGCCGGCCCAGTGGCGCACTGCTACAGTGTGCCGCTTGGGAGCGCAGCGGCGCTCCTGCCGAGGATTCGGATCCCACATGCAGACCGGCCCCTCACTGGCTGAGCGAGGTGCGGGCACAACACCGAGGGTTGCGATCCCGTTGCCGGTCCCGGTCTGGTACGGGCGCGACACTGAGGGTTGCGATTCGTTGCCAGTCACGAAAAAAGACAAAAAGGAAAAAAAAAAAAAAAAAGATGGGGAGTGGGTTTCAAGGGGGTCACCTCTAATGCCACACTCCCAAAAGCCACCATATCCTGGAATAAAGGCTTGCAAACTGGTTACCACGAGCCCTATTTAGCCTGAGATCAGCATAGTATTGACAAAAATCAGGATATTTTACATAAAAATCTGGGTTATTGGCATTTCCTTGAAAATCAGCATGTCTGGCAGCACTGAGGGCACTGAGCAGTGCTGCCTGCAGAGAGGAGGTGAATGCCCAGCACTGCCCCGGGCCAGCATTTCTTGTGACCTCACACCAGCCCACTCAGCTCCCCCTGTTATCTGCATGGCCCCCAGGGGGGTTTGGGATGGGGACCCCTAGATCTTCTCAAGAGCCTTGTGAGGACATGCAGTCCCCATCCTGAATCCTGGCCCACAAGGACAGTCAGAGGAGCTCTGGCCCCACAGCGGGTCCCACAGGAGTGGCCAAGCTCTGGGAGGGGGAGGGGGAGGCTGAGAGGCTGTGCCCCACCCCGCCCAGGTCCCAGCAGTCCTCTTCTCACAGAAGCCCCGGCCCTTCGCATCTCAGGACTTGGGACCTGGGGAGTCACAGTCACCTCTGTTCTCAGGTGAAATCCTAACTCACCTGTGCTGTCTTTGCTTCTCTGTAGCGCCTGCACCTGAGTGAAGATGTGGCTGGGGCCACGTTCATGGCGGCGGGCAGTTCAGCCCCAGAGCTCTTCACATCAGTCATAGGTAGGTGATGACCTGGGGATATCTCAGCCCTTCACTGTCTGAAGGAAAAGGGCTCTGGGGACAGTGGCTCCCATTCCAGTTTGCCTGCCACTAATAAGAAATGAGAATCTAGAGGCCCTAAGGAGCAGAACATCAGCCCCCCACTCTCCTGTTGCTGCTTTATTTAAGGGCTGCTTTCACTGTGCATGAACCTGCCCCAGACCCAGTGCCCATTCTCCTGCAGGCCAGTCTCCCCTTCATGAGTAGAAAGCTCGCTCCAATACTCGGCCACTTCCTGTAGATCCTGAGAACAGTCTAACGCTTAGATAGGTCCCCCATGCCCACTGTGGAATGCAGCTGGCCACAACAGCCAGGGTGACATGTGGTCTGTGTTTCAGGGGTCTTCATCACCAAGGGTGATGTGGGCGTTGGGACCATCGTGGGCTCGGCGGTGTTCAATATCCTGTGCATCATTGGTGTCTGTGGGCTCTTCGCTGGGCAGGTAAGGCAGACGGCTCCTTCGTGCTGGTGGAACATGACATGTGGGAAGGAGAGGCATGGAGTTGAGTTGGGGACTGTCTTGCTAGAACACAACCCCTCACGGCCCCAGTGGTGATTTGGGATCTCACACCCCAGGAGGCTGGCCCAGCTGTGGCTGGAAACTGTTAAGCCACCATTATTCGGTCTCCAGATTGATGGAATATAGAGAACCCAGGTTCACGTAAACCATTAACCAGCCTGAGAGATGCAGGGTACAAATGTGAAGGTGTCACACTCATTCTGATATGTTACTGATCTGAACTAGAATGATCTGAAACGATCTTAGGGATGATTTCGTCCTAGTGAGAGACAAGAAGAGACAGAATTTTTCTGCTAAGAACAGTTTGCAGTCATCACAGTTCAGAACACAGCCTTTCTCCCGGAGATGGAGTGTTGTATTTCTGTTTGCTTTAGCTTGCTCTTGGGGTCATGAGGGGCTTTGCAGGCCTGCAGTTTACCTGTGGAGACTATTCCACTGCTAGGGAGTGTCGCGGGGTTCGTACTCTATGTCAACGCCAGTGTCTGTTTTGGAAAGTCTTGGGAAGACCCAAGCGTGAGGCGACAGCAGTGCCTGAAGGTTTGCAGGGTTTGCAGCTGTCCCACTGGCTCTGATAGCCCAGTGCCTTCATAGGAATCTTGTTCCTGAGCTTTCTGCCCAAATACCCAATCCTCAGTGTCTTCTAGAAAAAGTGACTTCTAGATGCCCACTGAGGTGACTCCGCTTGTAATATTGAGGAACTTGGTGACCCTAATCACGTGATCGGCAACCTCGATGTGGATGAAGCAGTGTCCCGCTGGAAGCGGCTGGTGGTTTGAAGGGCTAAGGAAAGCTCCTGGCACCTTTCCCACACCCTTTGCCAGGCTTCTCCGCCTTTTGACAGATGGCCAAGGCACCCAGGCTGCCATTTCTCTAATGCAGATTTGACAGTCTCTGTGCAGGATCTACTCTGGTGCACAGCTGCTGTTCTCCACAGCCCATTTTTGACTTCCGTCGTCTTCATGCCTGTTGGTCTGCCTGGGTTGTCTGGTGTGTCACTTGCTTCCAGGTGACAGGTAGAGGGATTTGATCTGGTCAGAAATCGGCTCCCAAGCCACAGGGGTTCCTTCTGAGATGGGGCTCCTGGACAGCTATTTCCATACGTGGCGATTGACCTTGGCCCAGCTCACTAGACTGAACATTTTCTTTTTTCTCATCTTTTTGGTCAGTGATCTCTTGCCTTAGATTTTGTGGACCCACGATATGGTGCTTTTTAAGTCTCCTATAATTGCAGTTAGTACAAAAAGAGAGAGAGAGGGAGAGAGTCTCCATCTTTGCATTTTCCTGGCTGCCTGCTGCCGTGGACGCTGCTCGGAACCTCCAGAGAGGAAGAGTCACACCCAGCAGAGGACTGTGTTGCTGTTCGCACTCTCTTAATTAGTACTGTCACCATTAGCAGTATGATTATTAGCCTGGCTGTTTTTAGTGTTGTCACTAGTTCATTAGTCATTTGTTCCTGAAGCTTGACTCAAGAGCAAGTCCAGAGGGGGAGAGAAAATGCAAAGAAATGAAACAATCGACTGGGCCGCATCTGGCCAATGTGACGCGACCAATGCCTGACTAAATGGTTTGGATGCATGTGTGGCTCGTAATCCATTAGCAATGCAGCTTATCACCAGCTTGGTTAGAACACCTGCATAAAAGGCAGATTGCTTCCTGAACTTCAAAAAGGGCTGGTATCTGTCCCTTTACCCCCTCAGAAGGCCGTTGCTGGCTCATTTCACAACCCCGTGTGACCACGGAGAGAAGTAGCAACCATGATTGTTGGCAGAGGCAGCCCTCATGATGATTCTGGGTGCCAGCCCTTCCTTCTGGCTTTCCTTGTCATGTGTCCACTTAGAGATTTCTAAAGCCATCAGCTCTCTTTTTCAGGATTTTGTACAATCCCTGCAGTCTTTGGAGAGAGAGCAAAATGATGTTTTGGAAAGAATATGGACTGGGACATCAGACTGGCCTGGGTTTGAACCCTGACTCTGCCATTTGCTGGCTGTGGGACTTTGAAGAAGTTACTTAAGCCCTCTAAGCGTCAGTGTTCTCATCTATAGAGTGGGTATAAGTGCACCTACTTCCCAGCATTGCAATAAGAATGAAACATAGCATTTTTGGCATTAATAGCACCTGGTCCTTACAGTAAATCAATAAAAGTTAGACAGTGTTATCAACTCTCAAAATAGCAATCCCTGGGGTTCTCACCTCAAATTCCACCTGGGGTCACTGTGATAATTTGACTAAGTGGTTGGTGAAACTTATCTAACAGTCTGGGGTGTCCACAGTTTAATTACCAGCCACAGGATACACAACAGTAAGGGAAGGTCATGGAGAAGGTCTTCTAAATGAAAATCACAATGAGATGTTGAGAGAGGGATGGTCTCAGAGGACTGGCACTTGCTCTTGTGCTGCCTGATCAGTGGGAGAAAAGAAACATCAGTAAGAAGCAGAAGCCGCCCAGCCTTTCACACTGAGAAGCCCTCCCTGGCTGTGGACCTGGTGCAGCTGAATGTTACAGTAAAGGATGGATATTGGGAATTGAAGTGGTTAATAAATCCAACCATGGGTCCCACTTAGCTTAGTTATTTCTGGTGATCTACACTTTCACTGGGCTGGGACAATTACCAGCAAGCACCCATGGGCCTCTCCCTAGAGCATTCTGGCATGAAGGGCTGAACATGGCTAAGTCTGTTACCCATCTGAAATTAAAGCAATTAAGCTGTAAGGTTTGAGTTCCTGTCTCAATTAAGGTTTTGATAAATTCAACGTAATTAAATGTCTGCTGTATTTGCAGTTTGCGAACATATCTAGCACTTCGATGTTCGCCTAAGTTGCTTTGGGGAGTTTACGGGACGAGAAGGAAATTGCTTCTTAAAAAGTGGCTTGTAGAGTGGTTCTTGGCATCCCCGCAAGACATTTACAAGGCTGCGGTCCTACAAGTTTTCTTTATTTAAAAACAAAGAATAGTAACCACAAGGAGAAAACACGAAGCTCTTGATGCGACATACTAATGTATTTTGCATATTGTACTGAAACAGCTTCATGCCAATTTTGTAAAACAATGTACTTATGAATTTAAATCTGCCTTTCAGAGCATGCTAAGCTTTAAATACATAACCACAAACAGAGAATAAACAGTTTAACTGCATCCCAGATTAGAACTTTCATATTCCGGTTATTACAGACCGGCAGATGGCTCCAGTTTATAATGAAGAGCTCCAACATCAGCACGTCAGCTCTCCTGGCATCCTCAAAATGTGCCTAATGTTCTTTGGCAAGGTCCCTCTAATCTTGGCTGGGTTTGCCTCTCTTTAAATAACACTCTGTCCGTGCTGGCTCATTTACACAAACCTGAGCAGCACCCAGAGGTTGCATATCCAAGTTGAAACCTGCTTTCACTTGGATTTCCCCAGAAGGAGACTCTAAGGAAAAATTCAAGTGCAAGTGGTTTATTGGAAAGGTGATCCCAGAAAAGGCCAGCAGGACAGTGGGCAGGTGAAGCCGGGAAGAGGAAGCAGCTAAGAAAAGTATGTTAGCAAGCGAGTTACCACCATGGCAACTGGGATTTAGCTCTTCTGTGTAGAAGAGACGGGGGCTGCTAGTTATCTCACATAAGAGGCAAGGGAGCTGGGATATTTATCCACTAACTTCCGTAATTCATTGGTTAAGTACTACTTTTAAGGGACATTAATTCTTCAGCATACCAGCTGGGTGGGCACAGGCAGGGTGAACTTTGGGGCCTAAAGAAAAACCCCAAACAGAGAGATATAGGGGCTGGCAGGTGGCAGTATGTGAAATGGTAAATGAGAGATCTGAGTGGTCCATAAAGCATTTGCTACAATTTCAAGACAAAGGCTTTAAAATAAGTCACCTGTCAGGTGTCGTCCTCAACTCTCCTAGATGAAACACAAGTATTAGTACTAGGAAGACTATTAAAAGTCTGGAGCCAGAACATCTTGCATTTAGGGAATTTCCTCAAATGTTAAAAATAACAGCTACTATTTATGAAGCTTCTCCAGTGTGTAGGCACCACACTTTATGCTTTATAAATATTTGTAGAAATATACCCACTGAGTTTTAAGATAGTATTATCCTTATTTATAGACAAGGACATGGATACTGGGGGATTCTGTATCCCCCAGATGGCAGGGTGTCTATGAAGTGGTTAAGACTGGATTTGAGGGCTGGCCCCATGGCTCACTCGGGGGAGTGCGGTGCTGGTAGCGCCGAGGCCACGGGTTCGGATCCTACATAGGGATGACTGGTGTGCTCACTGGCTGAGCGTGGTGCGGACCACCCCGTGCCGAGGGTTGCAATCCCCTTACCGGTCAAAAAAAAAAAGACTGGATTTGAACCCACATCTGCTAACTGTCAAATTCATTCTCTTCCCACATTGGGAACCTATGATTTAAAAGTCTGCGGATGTTATTATTGCAATCTTATTATTAGCCTTAGATTTTATGTGTCCTTTAGAAGTTTGGGGTATAGGATTTGGGGATAGCGCAAAGAATGGATGCGTCATCAAAATGGGGGTGACTCAAGATGGATGAGGGAAGTACTCAGTCCACCCAGTGGACAACTGGAAGCTTCTCTTGTAATCAGATGGCATCTCCTGCAGCTGGGCTCTTGCTCCCACCACACGGACGGAGGATGCAAGCTGATAAACACAGTGGCAGACCCACAGACCACCCGGGTTTACAGCTTGATTTACAGCCCTGTACACCTTGATTTCCAGCGTATTGTTCCCCAGACAAATTCCACCACCTCCCCTTATTGTGTTCCCATTCTGAGAAGCATCTGGATTCCCCAAGGGGCTGGGGGCTGAGGACCACAAGTCAAGGCTGAAAACCATACACCACTAATTGCCAAACCTAAGGGTAGGGGCTGGAAGCCTGTCTCTACCATAGGAATGGAAATGTAGGTCCTAGGAAGGGACT